GTCGTGTGTGTGCCCCTGCTGGGTGCCAGCAGGCATGCGGGTACAACGTGCTGTGCCCTCCTCTTCCTCCTCCGAGACTCTTCCTAGCAGAAGAGCTGCAGCCAAGTCTCAAATCCCGCTCGGAGTCTGTCTGTGAGGAGCGATGAGGCGTGGGGTTAATTCTGGCAGCGTCAGACGTGAGGAAGATCGAGACCTCGGGGCAGGGCGGAAGCCAGGCGTGCTGCTGCTCGGGCGCGCTGCGCCCGCACCTACGTAGATTAAAAGCTGCCTTGTCCCGCGGGTGTTTGCTGCAGCCAGGGACCTCTCCTCCCGCGGGAAAATCCAGATTTCCTCCATCTAGTTTGTGCTTTGTGATTCTGCCGCCTTTATTTAAGAAAGGCTCCGTCCATATCTTGCGTTACGCTGCACTTCTGCCCATGCCGCAGTCACGCTGGGAGAGCGGGACCTGCTCTGAGCCCGTTCCGCATCCCGGGAATGTTGCAGAGCCGCGTGTGGGACCACGTGCAGAGCGATCCCTCCTGTCCCAGTGTCCCCGTGTCCCCAGTGTCCCTCTGCTTGGGCAGCGGACAGGTCCGTGCAGGTTGTATAACCGCGGAGGGGCCGGCAGCCCGTGGCAGCGCTCGTTAGTCACCACGGGGCAGACGTGACGCAGGCGCCCGCCCTCGGTGTCTCCATCCTAATCCGCTGACTCGATGCTTAATCAATCTGCGATAGCCGAGGAAAGGAGCCACTCATTCCAGGCTGCTGCAGGAAGGGACAAATGTTTTATTAAGTGCAGCCCACTGTTTGCATGCATTACACCTAGGAATCCACACAGGATATGGAAAAATCTTTGCAGCCTGTTGAGGATTAAACCTCCTCGTGCTTGCCAAATGCTCAGTGACACTGGGAGCAGAGGGCTGGAATTGAGTGGAAAAGAAAGTCCAGAACGGCTCCTTTCCTTACGAGCTGGGTTCTAGGCTTGCACTCCAAACCCCTTTCCTTGCAGACTCTCTGCAGCAGTCGGAGCTGCCTCTCTAACCGTTCCCCTCTCTGCATTCCTTAGATTCTTCTATTTGAGCTGCTGGATTGAAGAAAGGGCCTGAGGTCCCTGGGAGTGGAAGGCGCGTGGCCAACGTATCCTAAAGACGGAGCGGAGGAGGTTTCCTTTGGACTCTAAGCTGTCAAAGCAGAAAGGAGAACATGTCGCAGGTCATCCCGAGCCACGTGCTGCGGGTCGGGCAGAGCGTGTGCGTGGCGTCGCAGGAGGAGGGCAAGCGGCTGCGCGCCGCGGGCTGCGCGGGCTGCGCGGCCCTGCACGCCCCCTTCGCCTACTACTCCGCGGACGGCTGGGCCGAGCCGGTCCCTCTGCTTCCCAACGGAGCCCGGGCCGGGAGCCAGCCTGCCTGCGAGCACGCGGCCGCCTGCGCGCAGGGGAACGGGCAGCAGGACGCCTCTTTGGAGAGAGCCCATGTCCCTAGTCGAGCGAAGGAGGGGGACGCCAGCGAGGATACTGATGCTCCCCTGATGTCTCCTACCTTGGATATATCGATAGAAAGCCTCAACCAGCTGATCCTGGAAATCGATCCAACCTTCCAGCCGCTCGCGTGCGCGCCGGTCAAGGATGCTCCCCGAGCTGCTCCTCAGCGTGACCTTGCTGCGACCAAGAAACAAGACGCAGAGGCAACAGGTGAGACAAAAAAAAAAAGTCCTCATGTAGCAGAGCCAACTTAGCTCATGGTAAAGACAATTTATCTCAGTCCAAGGAGTGATGCTGTCCGTGCCACAGCCTGGTATGTACAAAGTGAGTTCCTGTGTCCTGGGGAAGGCCTGGAAATGGGGCCTTGCTGGCATCCCCTTTGTGTAAAGTGAGCTGATGTCTCGTGAGGGATGCTCTCCCCTCTCCTGTCACATCAGTGCTTGGCACAAAGGGGCAGGCGAGTAGTTTGTGCGTCCAGGCTCGTGTACTTGGGTGGCCCTGCTCTGATCACCTTTGAGTTGTCTCCTGTCCAGCTAGCTCAGCAGGAGCTGGAAGGAACGCTGAGAACAGCCCTTATTTCAGCCTGATACTTGTTTGCCTGTGTGTGGAGAGAGTGTTTCCCAAGAGGAGCTAGACTGAAAACTCCTAATCCAGGTTATTACCATGAATGACTAGAGACAGGCGCTGACCTCAGCGTGCAATGTCTGCAGTGCATTTAACCTCGCAGCAGAGCCCCAGTTCTGCAAGAGGCCACTGGGGCCTTCCCGGAGTCACGCTTGACCTGTGGAAGCACAGGGACTCAAAGCCAGATTTCCAAAGCCTGGGGCTGAGGTGCTCATCTTTACTCAACTCTTCCAATTGAAATGATTTTGCAAGGGAGATTCCTTTTGCAGGGCCCACGCGCTCCTCCGGCAGCATCTCCGGCACGCACAGTGCTGAGCGTCACCAGGGCAAACCCGCCCCTGTCCCCTGCCTGGGCACCTCGTGTGCCCCCTCTGCAGCAGCTGGCTGCCGTCCCTGCAATCCGGAGCTGTGCTGCGTGTGCCGATGCTGCTCCAGCCTTCCTGGCCTGCCCCTCTCGTGCAGCGTTACCGGCCGGCACGTGTCGCACAGAGCAGACTCCAGCGCATCTCCTGGTGCAGAACATCCCTCTGATGTGCCTAGGGATGCAGGCTTAGGGCTCCTGAAAACCTCTTTTGTTTGTCTGCATCTTCAGATAGCAAAACATCCCCAAAATCTGTCTCAGAGCAGGGTCAAATGACGGAATATTGAAAGCCTGAAACAAGTTCTGCTTGCCCTGAGCCCTCATGAAAGCTCCTGCAAGAGGAGTGTGGAGCTAGAGGGGGACACTGAGCATGTCCCAAAGCTCCTGAGCGGCATCCCGGGATGCAGGGAGCTGCTGTGTGAGCAGGGAGGCAGGTGCTGAGGAGCACGAGGCCGCAGCGGAGCGAGCGGCACGCCAGGGCGAGCGGCACGCGTGCGTCCAGCCCCTCGGGGACCCCAGGGGTGGCCTTGCAGACAAACCGCTGGAACAAAGCGCAAGGCCAATTCCCTGCTCCTCGGGTGAGTTTAGAGGCGTTCCAGTGCCTCTTCCAGGTGTTGGGCTTGGAGGTTGTGTTCCCAAGGAGGTAGCGAGGGTGCAAGTGGTTCTGAAAATCGGCTCCATTTCCTCCCCTGGATGCACAGGGAAGGACGGTCCCCCTTGCACCTCCTGAATAATTTCTGTGCCTCTCCTTTCTGCCTGTGGTGAGAAGGTGCAAGCCTGTGAAGAACTGAAAACAGAAGTAGATAATTTGCGTGTGTGTGTGTGTACCTGTATATATCTATAGGTACATATGATTATTTGCTCTCTAACACCATTTTGATTGCAAATCCGTTGCCTTTTAGTGAATTACCTTAAAGGAAAGTGCAGGAATTGCAGATGGGGGGAGTTCCCTCAAAACAGGGGTGCTGTGGAGTCTGGTAGGAGATGAATGGTGCCCCAGGAGCACCCGGATGGACTTGTTCTTGCCTAGTGGAAAGTATGCTGAGGCCTCAAGTTTTCCATCGAGGGAGGGTTTGCGTACGAGGTGCCGTAGTTATACAAGACAAATTACCCTGGTCCTAATCGTTCTTTGAGAACAGGATCAGCCCTCTCAGCTTGCGTGAGAGTTGGACTTGGCCTTTGTGGGACTTCTGCCACTCCTTCTGCTGCTGAAAGAATTGCCAAGATCCTGAGCAAATATTTAAGGCTTAACCACATCTGATAAGCAAAAAACTCCAAAACCGGAGGCAAAAGAGCCTTGTTAGCCCGATGCACAGACACTTCTGAGTTATTTCTATAAAGGATGATTAAAAGCCAAGTTTCCTTCTCCCCTTTTGAGGGAGACTGACAAAAAGCATCGGCCAAAACCTCGTTACGAGGTCTTTGCACGGGGATACCCGAGTGGTGCAGGCCACGAGCCTCCCCGGAGCCTTGCAGGAACCGCTGCTGCCTTTGAGGGGACACGGGGTGTGGGACAGGGACATTTGCAGCTCTGATTCCATCAAACTCTGCCGATCCAGCCCTGCTCTTGGGCTGGCTTGGAGAAGCGGCTCAAAGAGTAACTTTGTACAGGCTTGTGCTTTTCCTGCTCATCAAACTTATGCCCCAGAGGTCTGGTTGTTCCTTACAGTAAACAGTGATTGCAGAGCTTGGCAAGGCGCAGCAGGCTGCTCTCCCCAGGCTGGATATTTTCAACTAGGTTCTAGGGCAGGATTTAGGCATATAAAACTAACTGCAAAGAAGCTCAAGATTTTTAAGATGAGTTCTTTAATTGCTGCAGGAAAAAAAAACTCTCTCCTACAAACACTTTAGAACAAGAGCAAGAAACTGTGGTGAATTCCGTGGCAAAGCAAGATCCAGGAGATGAAAACAAAGTTGGACAAGTTCAGACTAGAACTAAGGTAGACAGTGTAAGCAGTGGAGGTGATTAACCACTGGAAAAGTTCCCTGGGGAGGAGGTGAATTGCCATAGCTGCAAGTCCTTAAATCAAAGCTGAGAGTCTCTGTCTTAAGAGGCACCTTGGAGCTCAATGGGAATTTATGGCCTTGCTCAAGGAACTGGTGGGTGAAAATCCCTTTGCAGGGAAGCCGGAGCCAATCCCACCCGCAGGACATGGACACAGGAACTGCCTGGGAAATGGTTTTGCTGCGGATGGGAGCGGGAGGGAGCCGGCCCCGTGCTGCTCCGTGCTCGCTGGTGACACGGATGCCCTGCGGTCACCCTTGTCCCACGCGGCTCCTCATGGCCGCGGGCAGGGTCCGGGCCCGGGACACCTTCCCGAGCGGCTCCGGCCGGTGCGCGGGGACACGCGCTTTCCCCGGGAAGCGGCGACCGCCTCGGGCGTCCTCTGAACCTGATGTCAGCCCTGGAGGGAGCAGCCAGATATTTTTCCCTTGAGTCAGGTGCTGCTGGAGGAAACACCCGCCGTGCGCTGCAGGTCCCGGCAGGCGCGCGGCGCTCGCCAGGGCTTCCGAGCAGATGTGACCGTAGGTAACCCATCCTCCTGCGCCTGCCAGGGGTGGGTCACTGTGACTTGATATCGGGTGAGAAATCAGCCCTTTTGGGGGCTTAGCTAAAGCCCCACACTGGGCTGGGCCCCTCTCGCCCACACGGTGCTTGTGTTCTTGTCGCTGCGGCCCCAACTATTAGCGTGGAGAGGAGCTGTGTATCCCGCAGAACGCAGCTCCCAAGCGACTCCGGCCTCCTCTTTCTCCCTCCAGACTTCAAGTACATCGAGATGACGCCAGCCAGGGCCCAGCGCGCGGAGCCCGCCGGGCTCGGAGAGCATCGCCATCCCGGACGGCGTCTCCTGCAGCCCTGGCGTGCCCCGCGACGCGCTGCTGAGGCCCCTGCACGTGCTGAGGGCGCAGCAGAGGAGCAGCGGCGTCTCCCTGCTCTCCAACAGCCCCGGCTCCGACACCAGCTACATCCTCGGCAGGTAAACGCAGCCTCGTGTCTCCGCTAGGGATGGGGAATGAAGGGGGCACAGGATGGACGCCCTAGGATGGACACCGTCGGAGCAGGGCTGAGCTCTCCTTGTAGCCCTGGGCTGGTCTGTGCTGCAGTCTACACAACTCATCCAGTTCTTCTCTCTGTTACCCTGTGTCTTCCTGCAGCAGCACCCACTCGCTCCCCAACGATGACTCGGATGCTCCCTGTGCTGCCAGCCGCTCGGCCGAGTGCCCGTCCCCCGCGGGGTCCCTCGGCAGCCCCTACCCGTCTTCCCCGAGCGTCAGATCTCCCGCCGGAGACGCCTTCGGGCCGGGCTCCCCACAGCCCAGGTCAACCTGCTCCCCCAAAGCCAGTGCGCCGTCGGCCCAGAAGGGCCAGGCCAGCAGCTGCCCCCCTTCCCTCCTGGGCGCCGCGGCCGACGTCCCCGTGCTGCTGGTGAACGGCTGCCTGGAGCGAGGACACGCGGCCGGGGGCCCTCCGGCCTCGGCGAAGCAGAGCCCTCCTCCCGGCTGCAGCCCCTGCCCGGGGCTCGGCGCCTTGAACAACGCGCTCTCCGCTCCGCTGCTCTCCTGCGTCCCCGACAGTAAGTCACCTCCCAGCCCTGGTGTCCCCCCGCCAAGGTCCTGGGGCGCAGGGTCAACAGGCAGAAGTGGCCTGGTCCCACGGAGGGAGGAGCGGATGCGCTCGCTTGTAGCCCCCGAGAACAAGGACCACGATGTTGTCATGTCACACTGCTGGGGGGACTCAAACGTGTGCGCGGGGAGGCTTGGAGGACACCAAAAGACACCCAGGCTTTATAAGGTCCCCCATACTGGAGGGAACAACAGGGCTGTTGTTGGCTGGGGGAGATGAGCAGAGACAGCAGCTGGGGCTCAGGGATTAATTGGGATTCTCATGGAAAAAGGAGGAGGGCTGTAGCGGGTCAGATTCTCAGCTGGTGAAAATCCCCATGGGCCGCTGGTCTCCTGCAGGCTGGGCAGCCCGGTGCTGCTGGGGCACTTTGTGTGCTGCCTCCCAGCTCTGCCGCAGCAGCCAAGAAAGATAATTATGTGCAGAAAGAATCACTGTGAGTAGCAGGGAGGAAGCTCTGATCAAAAGGATTGAAAAAAAAATACTTCAACCCTTGGCAGCTTGAAAGAGAAACATCTTTGTTGGGGCTCTGTTCTCCTCGGCAGTGTCTGCTGCAAAGGTCTTCGTGGTTTATCTCCCTGATGCCCGACATCTGTCCCCACACAGAGGGACATGTTCCTTGCTCTGCTTCGAGGAGTCACGTCTCTTGCAGGTCCCCCCAGAGATGGGCAACCAACCATGAAGTTTGTGATGGACACATCGAAATACTGGTTCAAGCCAAGCATAACCAGGGAACAAGGTAACACAAGTGTCTTCGCTGGTATAATCTCATATTAAACTCGCTCTCTGCAAATCGGTGGGAATGCTGCCTGCTGCTTGGAGTGGAATTTGCTCCTCTGCAGTTGGTGAGCTCTGCTCCAAGCAGTGCTGTGGCCTTGGGGTGCCTTGATGGTGACAATGAAAAACTTCTTGGGGGCTGGTGGGCATGGGCAGAGCTGCTCGCTAAGCAGGGTGGAAGGCTGAGAGATGCGAGCTGAGCCATGGCCCCATGTCCCCTGCGTGTCCTGGATGGTCTGGCTCACCGCCGTAGCAGTGACACTGCTCACCAGGGCTCTGAAAGGGGCCAGCTCCGTTCTGCAGCCCCAGAGCCCGGGTCCCTGGACCCCCAGGCACGGGTGACACGAGGGGCAGAGCCGGGGCCCCTGAGATAGGAAATGCAGTTGCTGCATTGAGCCCCTCGGTGAGCAGCCCTGGGGTCGGTACCTGCACAGGGGACGTGAGGGCTCAGCAGACTCCCCTGGTTTCCCCTTCCTGCTGCCAAGGAAGGGTTCCCGGTGGGAGCACGGGCAGGGAGCTCCCACCCGTGCTGCTTGGCTCATGCCCTGCCCGTGCTCCAACAGCGATCCAGCTGCTGAAGGACAAGGAGCCGGGCACGTTCGTTGTGCGGGACAGCACGTCGTACCGGGGCTCCTTTGGCCTGGCCATGAAGGTCCCCGTCCCTCCATCTGGCAGCCAGACAGGTACAGGCGCTCGCTCCCGAGGCGGGTTGCTCCGGGGTGGGAAGCAGAACGGGCTGAGCAGCGCTGGGTTCCAATGAGCTGCAAAGCCGCATGCGGGAGAGGCTGGGAAAGGGATCCGTGTGTGCGGATCTCATCCCCGCATGGCGAGCCCCGCACCGCGGCTGCCCCGGGAGCCCCGGTGTGAAACAGCCGCCTCGGAGCGGGTGCTGATGCTGCCCCTGTCTGGCTTGAAGGCGG